GAGACCCCTACCAACAGGAGCTCAAAAATGAAATTCTACAGAGCCAGGACAGAAAATCCCGGAGATGCCACTCACTGTGAGCCATTAGTCACACATGAATCACGTCCAAATGCACGAGGCACCCCGAGTCATGCATGAGTGCCTACAGACGGTGCCAACTGTCCACCTAGGGGGGGTGAAGGTGGGTCACAGATGAGGTTTTCCTGTTTTCTTTTCTGCTTTTTAATGAATAAAATGTTAACAAGCTGTTTTGTTTTTCTTTGAATGCCATACCTAGCCACAAAACAAGGATTGACACGGCAATCTTGCCCTTAACAAACACAATCTACTTTTAATCCTGGCTACAGCCTTGTGGGGCAAACGGGCAGGTATGTAATGCCCATGACACAAGTTAAGAAGCTGAGGCTCAAGAGAGGCTGAAGGCCAACTACCAAGTGCCAGTGAGGAAAAGGGTTAGGGCTTTGATCCAGGACTTTCCCGTCACCTCACACTCTCTCATCTAGCAGAGTACACTTTAGCAGTGATCACGTGTTCAAAGCACAACGTATCACCAGAACCACTCATAGTCCAACTTCCCACAAGAAGGTTTTCCTCTCACCCATTTACTTTACGTGGAACTACTTCAAATAGAATCCCAACTGGTTAATGAGCCAACGTTCTCAGGCTGAAGAGTGAGTGTCTTAATTACTTTTGTTTCTCAGCCCTTAGCACAGTGTCCTAGAGTTCAATGAACATTTCTGGAATGGATAAGAGTTTAGTGAATTTGAGGAAAGCAGATCATATTCTATGGAGATGGAGAATGACTTGGAAGGAAAGTCACTTCAAAACCAAGTAAGTTAGGAAAAAAGCTGTCCAAGTCTTTGAGGAAACAAACCCAGATAACTATTCAACAAGGTGATAAGGGAGAGAAAAAAAGCATTAAAAAAATAAAATATAATCATTCTTAAGTAGAAAGAGATGTTAACCTCAGAAGGCTTTTAGCATTCATTCAGCCATCTAATATGTGCCAAGAATAGTTTTAAGAACTGATGTAAAGCTATGGACAAAACAAAAATCCCTGTTCTCATGGAGCTTACAATAAAAAACATAAAATTTAGAAATCTCATATGTCAACTGGTGATACATGCCATGAAGAAACATTAGGCAGGGAAGATGGGTATGGAGTGCCAGGACAGGACATGGCATTTCAAGTACCACCTGAAGGAATTAGAGAGCAAGCTATGGAAGTGAGCTCATGTCATGTATTATTCCATCCAAGCAGCAGACCTTGGAGACTGAATGGTGACTGTTAACAATGATGTGGGGCAATGAAGTAAAACTAAGACCGCCCTGAGAAAGGGAGGAAGCCAAGAGACCAGTTAGCAGGCTACTATGACAATCCAGGCAGAAGTGATGGCACCTTGGACCAGGATAGGACTGGTGGAGGTGATGAGATATGGCTAGATTCTGGGTATAGCCTGAAGACAGATCTGACAAGCTGCACTCGTTAACTGGTTACTGCATGTGGTAATAAATCTTAAGAATGATTTTATCTTTCTTTCTGTGGCTGGTTAACACAATTGAGCAGGCTGCACAGGGTCAAAAATGGAAATCCAATTCCCATGTGAGGACTACTGCCTCATGACTCTTTGAAAGTCATACGCTACTAGTCAGAAAGCATGGGCCAAGGGTGAGGGTGCCACTGCTTATATATATCACCAGGACCAGAGAGCTGGCTCAAGGAGCTCACGCCTTTCATAAGAAGCTAAACATTCTAGGAACATACTTACATAACGCAACACTCACATACCAATTAAACCGATTAAAGATGTGGGTCGTTCGAATGCTTCTCACATACAGCAGCTTGGTCTTGGAAGAATAAAATGCACTGGTCAATAAAAGAGCTGAACACTGTCGGGAGAAGATGCCTGAAGATAAGCTCCTTCAGTCTAGGGGAGAAAGACGCTGAAACAGTGGGATCACGACCTACTGAGTTGCACAACCGAATTACACACATGGAGCTGTGTGGAAACATCTCCTGGGAGGGTGTGGGGAAGAGACAGGACCACCCAAGAGGCCTTCAAAGAGGAGGTATTATTCAATCTGAATCACAGAAACCTAGGTGACACCTGTCATAGAGACAAGAAAAGGAGGTAAAGACAGAGAAGCAGCATCTTCCATACAGAGAGTCTAGTCCATGGAAAGGCATATGAAGACATAGTTCCTTGAGGAGCCACAAGCAATGGCTGGGAAAGAAAATACACTCATCCAACAAAAACAACAACAGTGACAGCTACCACTTGCTAAGCACTCACTATATGGGTGCCAAGCACTGTTCTTGGCACTTAACATGGATCATATGTAACATAAGCATTCTCTTCACAGATGAAGAAACTGAGCTACACAGAGGTTATGTAACTTGCCCAAAGGCCCCAAAGCCAGGGGTGGAGTCAGGGCTGACATCCTACAACTCTAGAGCCTGCTCTGCGTCCACAGGCAGTGCTATGTGGAAGTGGTGGCAGATGAAGATACAAAGGCAGGAGCCTGGTGACAACCAGCATCATAGTCCATGAGGAACCACTGAGAGCTGACATGCAGGGGGGAACGGCTGATTAATCTTGCATTTGGAGAGATTTTATCTGTGACAGCATGCAAGATGAACCAGAGAGGATGAGGACACAGTGGGAAGATCACCCACAAGGCTAAGGGCTAATGCTGGGCAGAAATGACAGTGGTCTAAACAAAAGCAACGGCAGTAAAAATAGGGACGGGCTGTCAATAAATGAAGACAGAGAAGAAAGAGGAAACAGAAGAGGAAGGGTGGGCTTGGACAACAGGGAGACATAAGTTGCACTGTCAATAATGATAAGGTACTTGGGGTCATCCAAGCAGAGTGGTCCATCAGGTGAATCAATCAGGAAGTCAAGAGGGAGAAGGCTGAGCCAGGGATCCAGGTTGGGGCAAACGTTTTGTGTGTGTGCCAGGGAACTCTTCAGCTCAGAGGATTGGTGTCATCCGAGGATCCTGCACAGCCACTGCCAAATGAAGGTTCTTTGAAACATTCCCCAGAGAAAAACCAAAATCAAACTCACTGCCATTGAGTCGATTCCAACTCACAGCGACTTCCTTTGGCTTTCTGAGGTGGTAAATCCTTACAGAAGCAGACTGCCCAGCCTTCCTTCCGCAGAGTGGTTAGCAGTCAAATGCCTTAGGCACTACACCACCAAAGCGCCTTCTTTTCCCCAGAGTAGAGTTAAATTTCTGACAGGCTCGCCTTCTGGGGAATCATCTGGTCTACCTGAGCTCCCTAGGTCTGGAACCACTCCAGAACTAACCAGTGTCATTCCCATCACCGCGACCATCTGAAGCTGTAATTTCTAGGCACCAGTGAAAGGCTCCCTGGTGGCGCAGTGGTTAAGCACTCAGCTGCTAACCAACTGAAAGATCGGCAGTTTGACACCACCAGTCGCTCCACAGGAAAAAGATGAGGCAGTCTGCTTCCATAAAGATTACAGCCTTGGAGACTCTAGGGGCAATTCTACTCTGTTCTGTAGGGTTGCTACAAGTCAGAATAGATTCAGTGGCAACAGTTTCTGTTTTTTTTCTTAGACACCAGTGAAACCAGCTCAGTGTGTTGTCCAGTAAGCCCCAGAATAACCCTCTTCAGTGCAAGTCTACCCCAAATTACCTAGGAGGCTCAAACTCTAGGTTCCTAAAAACATAGCTCCTTGGTAAAAACACTGTTTTTATCATTTTCGGAAGGCAATTTAACAGAGTCTTGCAGCCAGTAACATTTTCAGCACTCTGTGGGCAAGGGCACACAGATGTCAAGGGTAAGTATCTTTCTCATCCCCAAGCCTTTATTCAAGTTGTTTTCCCCACTTAAAATAAACGAATCAATGAATAGTATCTTAATCCTTTAGAGATTCTCTTATTGCTAACCCACTTCCCAAGCCTGAACCATAGGCCTCTAGGACTATCATCAGATGAATCTGTCAATGAATGAAGAGAAACTCGATTAATTAATTTTACACAACTTCACTTCCACTAAAGTTTAGAGATGCAAGTCAACTTACAGAACTCTAAGGCAGGAAAGATAAGAGTGAACTTATAGAACATTAAGGCAGAACGTAGTGGCCCATTTTTTTCTCCCAGTTTTGTTTTCTACACTCATTTTGTAGAAATCCTGTCTTTGGAAGCTCTCCAAAATCTGCCTCCAGCCATCCAAACTAATGTACCACTGTACCCTTAAAGGTACCCTGAATAGTACCATCAGATGAAGAACCAAAAAGAGTGGATTTTAATGCATGTTTGAAATGAACACATTATTTTTAGTGCCTAAAGAAGGAAACTAGCTTAAGACATTAGTTTAATATTTCTACATCTCTGGGTACTAAGTCATCCATGTGTAAAAATGGTTAATAATTTCTGATGTGCTGGAATGACAGTATAACAGAAACAAATGTGCTTCCAAAAGCATGAAATCTTTATTACTGTAAGTTCTTACTGTCCTCCTACACCTCCAGGAATGCTCACCTTCTAACACCTCACCTAACCATACTGTACCCAGCAGTCTGTGGCGCCTGCCCACTTATACCAAGCTACTCTGCCCCGCTTCTCTTTTCCAATCTCACAGTCACAACCGCAATTCCCCTCTGGGTCTCTTCTGATTTTATGGGATGGGGTTGCTCCTGCCCCCAGGTGAAAGTTCCTCTAAAGTCAGAGACTACTCCTGTCTCATCCTCAGTGTCAGCCCCACACCAAGCCTTAGGCAGCCCTCCACTGTGACTCACTGGCAGACCAATGACAAATGTGGCTTGACCAACATGTTCCAGGCTAAAAATGTCCCGTGCAGCCCATCTATAACCCCACGCATTATCTAGCACTGCTTCTAAATGGGCCACTCAAAATTGTGACTGAAACGATCCCAAAATAGACACGGCCCTGCTTTCTGGCTCGCAGGACGTTTCTAGATGTGAGCCTGTTCTGAGCGTCCCGACTGTTACCCTCCGATTGGTTACCTGCACCACTGTTGCTAAGCAGGCTGACAGAAAGCTCTTCTGTTCCACTGAAGTTCAAGGGCATGCTGTCACCAGGCTGGCGGGAAGTGCTGTGCCTGCAGAGAACAGAGCCCAGCCACCTGGCTTAATGAAGATCATCACCTTTTTTAATCCTGCTACCCCTGTATATTGGAACTGTCATCAAGAACCAGTCTATTTGGCCACTGGGATCTCTATCAAAGGCTTGCAGGTTGCAGGGCTTGGTTTACCTGCCATCTCTAGTCTCCTGCCCTGGCACCCTGCTACTTTCCCACTGCCTAACCAAACCACCTGTCCCTTCTGTCCTACATCCCTCCTTACCAGCACCCACAGGAGGAGGCTGTAAGGTGCTTAAACGCAGGGATAGAGACTCGTGTCCTCCTTTGAGCCCTCATCCATCTCTGTATGTCAAAATGACCAAAAAGAGGTTCAGAGATTGCTCTCTGCCAAGCATCACAGGTACAGCGAGCCTGGCCTTGTCAAGGTGCAAATGACTCTCTTCCTAAATGACCCTCTGAGGAAGCCTTACAACACATTCAGAGCTCTGGTTTCACAAAAGACCTGTTTCCATAAACACAGATCTCAATTTGTATACTGTTTTTAGTATTAACCTCTTCTAAACTCAACAGTGGCATTTCTCAATGACCATAAAACCAGACATGTGAGTGAGACTGCCTGAAACACACAGCAGGCAGCACCTGTCTCACCGTGCCAGGACCAAAGCTTTTCCTCTTGCTGTCACCCTTGACTGGAGTTTTCAATAAACCCCTGTTTGAGGTTCACTAAATGCATTTTGGATTCACAATAAACCTAAAGCCAGGCCCAGCTAACATGACACGTAAAAATGCCAGGCTGTTTGTCTCACGATGAACTAAGAAAGGAGAGGCCAGATCTCCCTGTCTTTTCAAGTTTTATCGGCAGGGGAGTTTCCCAGCAGTCTGTCCTGCACACTGTCCTCCTGGGTGCCAGAAAGTGTACTCAAGGTACCTCCTGGAAAGGTGCATATCCTCACCTTCCGGCAGCTTCATGATACGCTAACTCCAGCAGCTCTGCAGAGGAGTGGGTTGAGTCCCTCTGCCCGCTGCCCTGCAGTTCCGCCATGTTCTGTCGGGTCTGGTGATGGATCTGGATGGCCTCTCCGGATGGTCCTACCCAGACAAAGATCCACTGAGCATCATTCCCACCCGACAGCTAGTGCTGTGCACGTAACTCCAATCTTCCTTCTCTCCAGCTGCTGGGACATGGGTGTTGGAGAGGCTGAAAGATGGCCACACTACAGAGGAACCTAATACAAAGGACCCTCTTGCCCCCAGAGGACACCTCTCCTGCCAAACAGGAGCTCCCCTGCTGTCTGTCATCCTGTTCCGTGTATTAAGAATAGATTCGATCTAACACAGGTCGCCTGAGGTTCCACAGGGAGACACAGAAGAATGGGAGGCAAGGCCCCTTCCCACGAGGTTTAACACCAAAAAAACTGAGAAGGAAAACATGAGCGAAAGACCTAAATGATAGTAACAATTGTGACTCCAAGAAGCAGAAGATAGGTAGGTACAAAAAGGGGTGCAAAGAGAAGGTAAATCACGATTAGTCAATCTATTGAGAAAGGCTTCCCAGAAGAGAAGAATTTTGAGAGCTGACTATTGAACAAGATTAGCAGAGGTTGAAGGAGAGGGCATTACAGGCAGAAGAAATAATACATATGAAATTCTAGACACAGAAGAGGCAAAATATGGGCAGCAGACCACAAGGTTAGTTTGGGCAAGATAAGGGCCTCTGAAAAAACAAGAGATGGAAAGTTGAGAGCCTGGCAACGGAGCGCATTCACGATTAGAAGGTCGGGGGGTAGGAGGGTGAATCCAAGTAAGCAGTGTTTGGGGGAATATCGTTTTAGCTACTGTGAGCACCATGGGTGGGAGAAAGATAAGCACAGAAGCAAGAAGATCCGAAGGTCATGGAAGAAGCTTCTGAAGAGAACTGGACGGGAGCCAGCGGGGATAACAATGAAAAGGGACACCAGAAAGAAACATGCAGAAAGACTGATTACGGCAGAGATGAGGAGGTTGGCTATGATCCCCAACTACAGCCAAATGAGCCAGGTTCATTTCTCAAGCATTAACTTTCTAACACTGAACCAAGTGCACAAGAAAATAACTGGAAATTTCCAGGCATCCAGCAGGATGGTTTCCATTAACAAAATCCTGGAGTTTAAAACATCTGCTTCTTCCCAACCCAGTAAAAGCCCATTAAGCTGAAGTTTAATTTTAGCCACAGCTTTATAAAACCTCACTGTCATCTCTTTCAGGACAGAACACAGATCAAAAGCAATGAGCTAGGAAAAAGTGAATTTGGGGGAACAAAACGTTTCAGTTGTTAGAGACCCCTGAAAGGAAATAACTTGATTTCTGTGTAGCTAAGACCAGAGTACCAATATCCAGGGCACACAAGGAAAAGAAGGAATAAACAAGGATGAGAGGCGTTAGTCTTAGGAAGGAAAGTACGCAACAAACAGAGAAAAAGAAGCCCTTAGGCTCACAGCTACTTATGGGTGCAAAGCCTGTTCCCAAGTGTGCCTTCCAAGATCCTCCTAACACCCTCCTATAGGCAAAGTGGGCTGGGCAACAGAGGCTCAGAGAAACTGAGATACTTGACCGAGGACTCATGGCTGACTGGTGCTTGAGGACCAGGACTAAAGCGCGCCTCGCCCATGCTCTTTCCTGAGCAGCCAACTTACCCACAGGGAAGGTGTGCATCCAGCGTCTTCTGTTGGAAGTCAGCTTCATGGGCATTCGTGAGGGGGCGAAGGGGTTAATCAGCGCTCGCTGGGGTGTGTGTCCCCCTGGCCGGACGCGCGGCATGGACTCCGCGCTGCCCACGTGGAACCTCCCCGGAGCGCTGGAGTCTCGCTGTGGGGGCTCCGCCATGTTCTCCAGGACGTCTGCCCGTTGTCGCGCAATTGAGGCACAAAGAGAAAGCACAGAAGCACAGTGAAACCAGAGCGAGGGAGACAGAGGCCAAAGCTGGCAGGAATGCTGGCTATCATAAACGCAAAGGGGTAAAAGGAGGGAAATCTCCGAACGATAAGACACAAAGGCCTTTACTTGGGAGAAGGGGTGCCAACTCCTGAAGTACCAGCTCCAGTGAAGACACATCCGAACCTGACGGGAAAGACCGCCACCTGGAGACCTTGGACTCTGAGCTGGATGCAGTGACTGAATTGTGGGGCCGAAACGTCTCCCTAACAGTCAAAACTGATATTTGGTCTCCAAAACAGAAAACAGTTCCATATGTTCACTAAACCCATTTGCTTTTCCTCTTGCACATATAAAACTATAGCTTTCAGTCTCTTTGTGTGGGGCCATGTAACTGAGCACTGGCAAGAGAACAGAGGTGGAAGTGACACGCTCCAAATCCAGGCCTGGACCACAAAGGAATTCATGCAAGAGCTCCATTCTCTCTTCCTCTTCTGTGGTGATTCTGGAGACCAGTATTGGCATCTTAGGATAGAAGGAGCCTGGGGCCCTGAATGACTAGGTACATCAGGCCCACCTACCACTGCCTCGCTTGACATAAGAAATAAAATGTCATCATGTTTAAAAAAAAAAAAAACTTGGAGAAAAGGATGCATCTAGTCTTGACTAAGAAAACAGCCAGCATGATATTTAGATTCAATGTGTCCTATTCACTGGCAGACAGGTCCCTATTGGGGAAACGGGGACAGCAAACTGTATAACCTGAACAGATCAAAGAGCTGAACCCCACAACTAACTCCCCTTGTGCACATCCCACGTTTACTAAGCAACCACCTAGACTAAAAAGTGGATCTAACTGATGGAAACTCCATGGCATAAGGAACCTGTCTGATCCACCATTATCTTCCTTGTACCTACCACAGAACCTGGTGCAGAGTGATATTTATTTCCTCAAGATGATCTGAATGCAAGAAGAGAACATGTAGATCTTTATGAAAGATGTATGCTTGATCGTAAACTAATGAATGTAAGCTCTAGTTTACCCAATAAAAAAGAGTAAGTTCTAGTTACTTATGGAAATAACAGGAGAAAATGCAATTTAAAAGGGTAAGTACGTATGAACTTTAAAAAGAAAAAACTAGGACTAAGGGATAAAGTGGGTCAAAAATGATCCCACATTTGCACCTGCACAGAAGTCAGCAGCTGCTTAGGCTACACCAGGAGGGAAGAAATAGGGGCTATAGAGGGGAGAGAAAGGAGTTCTGGTGGCATAGAGGGTAAGGCATTTGGCTGCTAACCAGATGGTTGGTGGTTCAAACCCACCAGCTGCTCCACAGGAGGAAGATGAGGCAATCTACTTCCATCAAGATTTACAGCCCTGAAACCCAATGAGAGTCGTACGAGTTGGAATCAACTCAATGACAGGGGGTACAGGGGAGAGAAGTGTTTCTGTGTTACACTGGGTGAGTAGTTGCGGGGAGAATCCTTGAACATAACAGAGAACAGGGAAGTAAAGGCCTGTAAGATATCCCAATGTTGCCTTACAAACTTCCAGTGAATTACCTTTTGGCTTTTCCAATAACTCCCAGGTATCACTAAAAGACACGAAACCAATGACACTATTGAGATAATTAAAAAAAAAAAAAAAATGCTTTCAAAGTTCTTTGGATTAAGAACAATAAGGCAAAGAGGAGCTCTGCCTTTTAGAATAACAAACGTTTTTAAGGGATTGATGTTTGCTTTAGGAATGCTGTTGGTATAATGGTAAAGTCCTTGGTTGACAACCAGAAGGTCAGTGTTTGAACACACTGGCTGCTCTGTGGGAGAAGATGTGGCAATCTACTTCCATAAAGATTACAGCCATGGCTACCACTGTCATCCACTTGGAAGGGGATCTATGTAGGAGATCCCTGATAGAGAGGGAGAACAATGTGGAACAAAACTCAAAATCATTTGGAGGGAAGAAAAAAAAGGGGAGCGGGGACCAGGTTAGCTGGTATGACAGAGCCTGGTGGAACCACTGAGACTATGGCCCCTAGCTGCCCTTCAGGTCTGGAATTGAACCCACACTTGTAGTTTCCAGCAAAACAAACGACAAGCATATGAGTTGAACATTTACCTCAAGTAGATACTCTCCTTGGAGAGAACAATCATGGGAGAAAGAAGGGCTGCTTATACACAGGGAGACAGCTCAGGGGGCAGGAGTCCATGGAGGGATGGACACAGGGAAGAGGTAACTATGAGGAGGAAGTGGGAGGGGAGCTGTTGCATTGTGGGAAACTGTGGTCAATGACACGAGACAAAGTTTATGTGAACTGCTGTATGGAAAGTGTATTTGCTCTGTAAATCACCCAAATCACAATATAAATAAATAAATATATATATATATATTTTTTAAAAGATTACAGCCGTGGACCCTGCGGGGCACTTCTATTCTGTCATGTAGGGTCACTGTTAGTTGGAATTGACTCAATGGCAATGGGCTTTGTTTGGGTTTTTTAAAAAATGTTTGGTTTAGAAGCTCTAGTGGCTCAGTGGTTAAGTACTCAGCTGGTAGTTCAAACCCACCAGCTGCTCCATGGGGGAAAAGACATGGTGATCTGCTCCTATAAAGATTCCAGCCTAGGACGTCCTATGTTGTAATTCTGCCCTGTCATACAGGGTCACTATGAACTGGAATTAACTGGATGGCACACATCACGTGGTTGAATTTAGCTTTTGCTATGGCCTCTTCTAAGAATATTTTCAGGAAAATGGGATTAACTGTCAAGCAAATTTAGAAATTTCCAAAAGTGGGAAAAAGCTAACCTAGAAATTTTCAAATATATTCAAATTATCTTGAATGGGAAACTTAATGTAGGTGACATAAGGTTACATTATATAGCCATTTAATTAAGTATCTGCTACTTTGTCCTTTAAAATTTTTTTACATTTCAAATCATTAACAAAGGGTTTTCAGCACTGAAAAGTTTTCACAGACCCTTGGTAAAGTGCCTTTGGTGCCTAATGGACAAACAGGCCCTGCTCCCCAGCCCTCAGGTCCCAAGAACCAGTGGCATCCCCATCAACATGCTGGGTCTCAGCAAACACTCCATGTCCTCGGGGAATCCTTTCAGGGTGACGGGAGGCAGCTATGTCTACGTAACATCCCTATGCTGGTAATCAAGTCAGGTGGTCTACGCTTCCATTTAGATAACATTCCTGAAATAAGGAAATTACGGAGGAGAAGAGATAGGTGGGAGAGTGTGGCTATGAGGGGTAGCATGAGGGAGCCTTGCAGTGACAGAACGGTTCTACATCTTTCTTCTGCAGTGGTTACATCAATCTACACGTGTGATAAAACTAAACAGAAATCCATGCATACACACACAAATGAGTATGTGGAAAACTGGTGAAATCCGAAGAAGCTCAGAAATGAACCAATGCTAACTCCTTGCTTTTGATGCTGCACTATAAGTACACAAGAATTTCCTTATCACTGAGGAAAGTGAGTGAAGACTACACAAGGACTGCCCGGTATATTATTTTTTGCAACTTCCTATGAATTCATAATTATTTCAAGATAAAGTTTTAAAAAAAAGTCCAGAGGGGCCTACATACTGTAAGCGCAGGTGCTATTGGGTGGACACAATTAAATACAAGAAAAGTAGCACCTGTGTGTGTTGGAGAAAGACAGGTGAACACGTAACTAGCTGCTAGGAAAAATCTTAAAATGGCATCTAGGACAGAGGCTGTTTTAAGGACAGTACTGATGGAATTGGCAATGAAATGAACAAACACCTACACCCCAGGCCTAAGAAAAGCTCTACAGTAATAGAAAGGAAAGGTACATGGCTATGGTGAGAGGGAAGAAAAGGTAACAACAAAAATAGCATCACACACACACGTAACAGCTAAGGCGATTCATACTCTCCTACCCATTGTGCTGGCAAAGGAATTAACTCACTGGTGGGGCCGACAGCCCACACTGAATCACTGCCCTCCACTTCCCACCCTCCCACACACACACACAGAGAGGAGGTGCTCCGGCCTGTGCAGCTTCCGGGCTGCAGCACTCTGACCTCGTGTGCTGGTGTAGCCCAAGGAGCTGCTGACTTCATACTGGTGCAGATGAGGGTGTGGGATCATCAGGATGTTGGCGCTCCTGCCCAAGGAGCTATCGTCAGAGGCCTGGCTCCTCACTTCCTCTGCAGGTAGCGCACGACTTGGCAGGGAAGGGCTGGAAGAGACGTCGCAGAAGCTGGCGCTCTTTCGATTATGACTCTCTTGCTCCCTCACAGTCCTGACAGGTGAAAGACAAAGTGTTACCACCAAGTTGGCCCATCTAGAATTAAAAATCCCAAACCTGGTACCAGCCTAAGCTATGGGAAAGCAGTAACAAAAATTTCCCTCCATGGTCTATGAACGGGAAATAATCTAGGAGGTGCTCTATCTGCAGCAGGCTGAGATGTGGTGGAAGAAGAGGGGAATGACTGACAGCTCTCAGGCAGCCAGAGTCCCAGGTCATACCACAGGGGAGTAGGGCAGTAGTAGCAGGGCAGCCAGGAGCTCTGGTGGCGTAGTGCCTAAGGCACTTGACTGCTAACCAGAAGGCTGGTGGTTCAAACCCACCAGCCACTCCTCGGAAGGAAGATGGGGCAATCTACTTCCGTAGTGATACTGCCTCGGAAACCCAAGGAAGGGTCGCTATGAATCGGGTCCGACTCGACAGCACGTAACAACAACAATAACAGTAGGGCAGCCCAGCAGGGCCCCACTGATCCAAGGCAGCAGCAGCCCAGTGGGGCTCCACCTGGTCCAAGGCATTAACAGCCCACGGGAGCCTCACCTGATCCAATGCAGTAACAGCCTAGTGGGACCCCATCTGGTCGAAGGCAATAACAGCCCAGTGGGACCCCACCTGATCCCACAGATCAATCTGAGCATAACCAAAATTGGGTCACCTGACAGGCTACGACATGATAAGGCAAAGTACACCACATAGTGACACCTGAGAAGTCTTCTTGCCCCCAACTGACCCTGAGTCTAATGAAGTCTAGAGATAATTGCCTCTTCACAGGAAATTCAAGGAACAGAGGACAAGTTAAATATCATGAGGTAACAATGTGCCAAATGAAGAAAGCAAGGCATCTCACTGTCACAGAAAAGAGACACATGACAACCAAATACAGTGTGGGGATCTTGTTCAGAACCCAGTTCACACAAGCAGTGAAAACCCATTTGAGACAATTGGGAAATCTGGGTATAGGACTGGCTATTACAAAATATCAAGGAATTAGTATTAATTCTGTTACTAATGGTAAGAGTACCACGCTCATCTATATATTTTTAAAGTTCTTATTTGTTACAGATACATACTAAGTATTTACAGGTAGAAAAATTAAATAGAATGCTTGGGATTTGTTTTTTAAAATACTCCACCCAAGATTTCTTAAAAAGAAATGCCACTTGATCTAGCCATCCCATTACTGGGTGCATGTGCTAAATAGTGAGGGCCAGGACATGAATAGATACATACACCCTCATGTTCACCGCAGCACTATTCACAATAGCAAAGAGACAGAAACGAGGTTAAGTGCCCATCAAAGGAGGAACAGATAGTCAAACTGTAGCACACACAAACAATGGAATACTATGCAACACTAAAGAATAATGTAGAATCTCCTAAACACCGCATAACATGGATGGACATTACGCTGAGTGAAATAACTCAATCACAGAAGGACAAATATTGTATTAGTCCACTACTGTAAAAAGGCATGGAAAGGTTTATACATGGAAAAAAACTTTGTTGGTTACCAGGGATTGTAGAAGAGGGGATGGAAAATTCCTAGATAGGTTTAAAAAAATAAAATAAAATAAATACACACACACACACACACACACACACATATATATATATATGTTAGGCATAAAATATATCTAACATATATATATAACATATAATATATGCACACATATATATAACATGTATACATATGTGTACATATATATACATATATATATAAAATGAAAGATTATTAGTGGATTATTAGGAGGAAGCAAAAAAGGAAAGGGGATGCTTTTGTTTACAGGGCATTGAGTTTATGTTAATGGTGGTAGAATATGTTGGAAAAGGATAGCAATAATGGTGGCACAACATGAAAAATGTCATCACAAATACTGCATTAGTTCACTATTATAAAAAATCAGGGAAAGGTTTATATATGGAAGGAAGCTTCCTTTGTTGGTTACCAGGGATGGGAAGGGAGGGAAGGGAACGCTGCTAGATCGGTAGAGACAAGCATTGATCTGGGTGAAGGGAAGGGCAATGTACCAGATGTGAGTAATCAACACAGTAACACTAAGGAAGAGGAAGATGTAGAGAGGTATATGGGATGTACAGACAACAAAGATGAACCATGTTGCATGTACGGTACTAGGTTGTCAGTGATGGCAAACACTGATCTACGGGTGGATGGATGGGTGGACAGGCTGAACAATCAGGTATGCTGAGGCAGCAGAGAGCATGCCCGTGACCATGTATGGGGTTAGCAGACAATGCTTCTACATGCCTGTTCATATGTACTGTAAGAATGCCCAGGTGTATAGCAGAGCTGACAAGGGACAAGGTTATGGTGGCCTCTTGGCCACAGCCAGCTACCCAGAGCGAGTGAGTAATTGGACCTGCAGCCTTGGGACCATGGTCACAGGGGACATCAAGCTCAATTGGCATAACATACTACATGAAAACGTTGTTCTACATCCTACTTTGGTGAGGAGTGGCTGGGATCTTAAAAGCTTGCAAGCAGCCATCTAGATGCAACAATGGGTATCTCCTCATCCAGAGCAAAGAAGAATGAAGAAAAACAAAGATTCATGGAAATAATTAGTCCCAGGGAATGGTAGACCATTCGTTTCTCAGCCTATATGACCATGAGACTGGAAGAAATAGATGGTGCCCAGCTTCCACTGTCAACCACTCAAAGGGATGTGGAACAAAACTCAAAATCATAAAGACCAGGTTTGCCACTCTGATAGAGCCTGGTGAGACCCTGGAGACTATGGCCCCTAGTTACCCTTCAGCAGGTCTGCAACTGAACTCACTTTTGCAGCTTCCAGCCAAACAAGAGACAAGCATATGAGGTGAACATTTAAATCAGATAGATAAACTCTTTGGAGCAATCAATCGTGGCAGAACAGAAGGGCAGTATTTGCGCAGGAAGATAGCTCAGGGGGCAGGAGTGCACGGGAGGGAAGGACACAGGGAAGAGGTAACTACAGGGAAGAAGTGGGAAGAGAGCTATTACATTGTGAGGAATTACAGTCAATGTCATGAGACAAAATGTATATGATATGCTGTATGGAAAATGAATTTGTTCTGGAAGCTTTCACCCAAATCACAGTAAAAATTTAAAAAGAAAAATGTCATCAATGTCCCTGAGCTATAAATGGGGAAGGTGCTATGTTGGTGAATATTCTGTTGTGTATATTTTCACCACAATAAAAATAATACATACACACACACACACACACACACATATATGTGTATATATATATATATATACACACACACACACTCCAGCCAAAATTTAAAAGTAGGGAAAGTAATGAAACAAGCCTGGCAACATGTTGACAACTGTTCACTCTACTTGTACGTGTTTGAACATACCGTTAATAAAAGCTACACAAGTAGAATAGACTTGTTGAGACATAAACTGCCTAAGGGGAGAACGTCTGGAAGCAGCAGAGAGGATCAAACGGAGAGAAGCCCAATGGAGAGGGAAAACCCCAGAACCAGAGTCGGCCACTCTCTCTGTGACAGGGCTTCCTCTGGCATCAGAGCTGGTCTCTCTCCTCCTCGAAGGCTTCTGTTTTACTTAAGAGTTTAAACAGAACCCAGAAATAGATCCCATGTTGTGACTGTGTGTTCATCACTTAAGTAACAAGCATTTGAGCACCACCTATCAGCTTGTTCCTTTTCAGGGATAGCGCACCAATGAAGACATAGTCTGTGCCCTCAAGAAACATGCAATCTAGGTCTCCAAAACACCAGGTCTTGCCATCTTTCATTAGAAAAAAGGAGACCAGATATGTTGGAACATTTTTAAATGCTCAGACGAAAAGCCCTACTTAGCCTCTAAGTAGCATCCTGTCAATGGGGAGTTGCTGTTAACAGCACTTACTCTGAGCTCGAAGCATTCGCAAGAGAAGACATTAGGAGGAGGGGAGAGAAAAGGACAGGAAACAAATATGTGACTACCATCAGCTCTTTAAGGAGCTCTGGTGGTGTAGTGGATAAGGCATTTGGATGCTAACCCTAAGGTCAGCAGTTCAAACCCATCAGCTGCTCTGAGCAAGGAAGATGGGACAATCTATTTCTATAAAAGTTTACAGCCTCAGAAACCCAATGAGGGTCTCTATGAGTTGGAACTGACTTGATGACACTGAGTTTGGTTTCTCGTGTTAGCTCTTTAAGAAAAGAAAAGTCTCTTGCATGCTGGGAATAACAAACTTAACGGAAACTCTAGGCCCTCGGATCTAGGATCTCTGGGTCAGTCAATGAAGAGGCAGACTGGAATCTGTGAATTGCTTTCAGTTAGAAAAAGCCTCTCTTATGTTGAGACAATATTTCACAGCCAAACAAAATGGCTGGGCCCAAGAACCTGAAAACAGAATCTCTAATGACCTACAGGATATAGCTTCCGTTTGACTAATTCTAATTTAAAACAGTTTTAAGATTGCTCTCATGAAGATCTCTACCCATTGCCACTGAACTGAATATTAAACTATTATCAAATATAAATCAAAAACACCCACTCCAAATGGTTCTCCAACATTTTCTCCCAATCTGTACGTTGGCTTATGACTTTGTTGATAAAGTCTTTTGCTGCACAAAAGTTTTCATGTGATCCAATTTATCTATTTTGCCTTTTGCTGTTCATGTTCTGGTGTCCTATCTAAGAATCCATTATTAAAAACTAGGTTCAGGAATGAACTAGGTTCAGGTAAGTGGCAAAAGGGAATATACCCACGATCATATATAAAGCTGGCAGATGTTATTTCTACGTACGTTATTTGTATGTGCTGTAAGAATGTCCATAGGAATAGAACTAACAGGGGAACAAGTTGTGATAATTTCTTAGACACAGTCAATCACCATGATGGAGCGAGTTGTTGGACTTATGGTCTCAGGGCCATGGCTGCAGGGGACATCAAGCTCAACAGGCATGACATACTACACAAAAACTTTGGTGAGTAGCAACGGGGGTCATAAAAGGTTGTAAGTGGCCATCCAGGTGCAACAATGGATCTCTCCTTGTCCAGAGCAAAGAAGAATGAAGTAAACCAAAGATCCAGGGAAACAATTAGTCCAAGGGACTAGTGGATCACACGAGACCAGAAGAACTAGATGGTACCTGGCTACCACTGCCAATCACTCAGAAAGGGATTAGTGCAGGAGATGCTGGACAGAGCGGGAGAAAAATGTGGAACAAAACTCAACATCATAATAAAGACCAATCTCACTGGTCTACCACAGACTGGTGAAACCCTGAAGACTATGGCCCCTAGTGACCTTCTGGGCCTAGAACTGAAATCGCTCCCGTGGCTTCCAGTCAAACAACAGATAGGCATGTAAGGTGAACATTTACACCATGTAGGTACACTCTGGAGATCAATCAATCACAGGAGATCAGAAAGGCCGTATTTGCACAGGGAGATAGCTCAGAGGATAAGAATGCCTAGGAAAGAAGGACACAGGGAAGAGATAACTATAGAGACGAAGTGGGAAGAGAGCTGTTAAACTGTGAGGAATTGCAGTCAATGTCATGAAACAAACTGTGTAGGATCTGCTATATGGAAAACGAATTCACTCTGTAAATTTTCACCTAAATCACAATAAAAATTAAAAAAAAAAAAAACACCTAGATTCCGAAGCATTGTTTTCTTCTAAGAGTTTTATAATTCTCAATCTCGTGTTTAAATTCTTATGAAGGTCTCTATTGAATTTCAGTATTCCCTTTGATCTCCTAAGCCGTTTTATCTCTACCCGAAAGTGACTCTGAGAGAAAACCTGCAGGTGGCGAGGCGCTGCGCACGGGATGGGCCCGGCAGCCTGAACACTTGAGCGTCGTAGGCGTCATAATCTACTTGGATGGGAAGGGCGTTCTCTGAGTCTTTGGGAGTCCCCAGCGCTGAAACACACAAGTAATGCAAACTGGCATCAAATCACATTTCACCAAAGCGTCTTCCTCAAAATCTGCAAGGCACAGGTGATCATCACCATCTCCCCAGAAAAAAAGGGACAAGTACCCATTCATTAGGTTGTCAGCTTAAATGACTCATACATAAGGTGATGTATAAATAGTACAGCATTAAATAAAGGCAAAGTGTCTGGAGTGTTTCATTCTGTGATCCCAATTTTAAAATGTCACCTCAATATGCTTATTTAGCTCTTTACCACTTTCTGCCTGATCCTTACAATTGACCTATGCAAAAGAAAAAAACTGGTTACATCATCATCCTTTTTGCAGTTAATGGAACAAAATTACAAGGTGGATGAAGGACCTTTCAAAGGTCACACAAAGTAAACTAGGACTCAAGTCTCCCAACTTAGCTACAAACTTGTTAGGCACCCTCACATAACTTTATTGCTGACTCCTAAAAGTGATGAAAGAAGATTTTGAAAAATACTCACCCGTATCACGACCATTTTTTGCTTTCTCAGAAGCAGGCTGTAAAATTAAAGAGATACATAATCACTCCCACCTCTGCTAGACTAGAACTTATCAAAAGGCACAGGAGGAACCATGTCTTACCCCTCAGTGTAGCTTAGAGAGAGGCAGGAACTAAAACATGACATTTGCCATGGTACTGGGCCCTACTAGGTCCTTAGCTTCTCACATTGTATCTTATTTGTCTCACAACCCCATCCAGTAGGCAGATCACATGGACCCCACTTTACAAGCAAGGATGTTTAATTCTAGCGAGGATGAGGACCTTCTCAAAGGCAAGTAACCCACAGATGGCAGAGCGCAAACTCAGCCCAGATCTTCAAACTTTGGTCAGTCCACCGCTGCGTTTGTTGTACCACAGCCTGATACCACCTGCCCCCTAACCCTGTATCTTCCCACCGACCATGGTGCTCTCACCCGTCTGCCTATACTGACCAGAGCTGAGCACTCAGCAGGAGGCCCAAGTGGCTGCAGTGGAGCACAAAGGGAGAATACAAACTGAAACAAGGTACAAGGTTTTTGTTTTAAAGAATCTTTTTCGTGACACTTAAACCTCCCATAAGGAGCCCTGGTGGTGCAGGAGTTAAGTGCTTGGCTGATAACCGAACGGTCAGTGGTTTGAATCCACCAGTCACTCTGCCAGAGAAAGCTGTGGCCGTCTGCTTCCGTAATGGCTACAGCCTAGGAAACCCTATGGGGCAGTTCTACTCTGTCCCGTAGAGACTATGAGTTGGAATCAACTTGAGAGCACACAACGACAGATTTCCTGTACCGACACTCTTCCTCTTTAGAAGATCATGGTGCAGAGAAGTTTCCCCAGGTTCTACCTCGCCAGAAACGGTTGTGGGGAAGGCAGGCAGGAGAAGGCTCCATCTGGACAGAGTCTCATCTCCCAGCACCTGACTACTTAACATGGTCTATTTCAGGAATCTTCCATATGCTTCCAAATTGATGTTTTCCCTATTAGAAGAGCACCATAAAAAAGAAAAGGAGTGGGGAGAAGTGGCCCTGATGTTAAGAGCATAACACAGCTACATGTGAGGCAACCTTCTCAGAGTTCAACTCTGTCAGAAACAGATGGCAGGAGCAGTGTGGAGTGGTGCTCATCAACCTAACAACCTGTCTTCCTCTTTACATTACAACAAAAATACTTGATTCAGGTTCTTCAAACTGACATTTATATTGGCTGCAAATATATTTCAATGAGGGGATGTTTCATGGTTTATTTAGCCACTTCCCTATTGTTTTCAACTTCTCATTATTACAACAAAACTGGAACAAGATCTGTGTGCACAAGATAGCCTTAGTTATTTCCTTAGAGACTATGGCCAAAGAGGGAATTACCTGATCATACTGATGGATACACATGGCTGAGGTGCTTTACAAGAGGATCAGATACCCACCAGGTCCTCCAGCACCACTTTCATCATACCTTTCCCAGCATCTGGTATAAGGATTAACGTTTTAAACCTACTTGACTGCTAACCAGAAGGCTGGCGGTTCAAACCCATCAGCCACTCCTTGGAAGGAAGACTGGGCCATCTACTTCTGTAGTGATACCGCCTCGGGAACCCAAGGAGGGGTCGCTATGTGTTGGATTCTACTTGAGTTTGGTTTTTTTGGGTTTTGATAATCAAAATTAAAATCCCCATTCTTGTTTGAATTTGCATCTCTTTAAGAAGATGTGATCCTTACATTCTATTTCTTTTTTGCTTGAATATGGACCCATGTCTTTGTCTACATCCTCAATGTTATCTCAGTGGTCTCAGTATTTGCACAAACCAATCATATAATGATAAAATGAACTCGCGGTCATATTTTCAAAAAAGATTTCTTGCAGTCTGGGTTTGCCTTGTTGTTTATTTATCTAATGTGGAAAATTATAAAGCTCTAAGACAAATTTCTTGAAGTCTATTCACGACCATGGGGAGGAAGTGAGGTATCTCAGGACAAAAGTGTCCCTGAAGCACTACTAGTTGGTAAAACTCACCTTCTTTCCTGCCAGTTTTATTCGTGGGGTGAAACTGTTACAAAAGAGCTGGCTTTTAGATGTGTAAAAACTGTAAAGGAAACAAACAAGACCATTACTGTAATCCTTTTTTTTAAACTTCAAGACAGCTGACAGCCTGGCCAAGGATCAGCTTTCTTATGACTGGCCTTGTCTCACTCTTCACTAATCTGCTCTAATTCTTCTGCAATTACTACCAAACAATTATGTTTTTGTTCTTGTTCTTACTACCCACCCCCCAATAAACTGTATCATGTGTGACAGACTCAATTCCTAACAGGGTAAAAATCTCCTCCCTCTGGCAGGGATTTAGTCTATTTACACAATGACCGTTTATTCACCTTGATATTTGGCATGCCCACCCCATCTGCCAGCTGTTGTGCTGTGGGGGCTTGTATGTTGCTGTGAGGCTGGAAGCTATGCCACTAGTATTTCAAATACCAGCAGGGTCACCAATGATGGACAGGCTTCAGTGGAACTTCCAGACTAAGACAGCCTAGAAGGAAAGCCCAGTGATCTATTTCCAAAAATCAGACAATGACAACCTTATTAATCACAACAGAACTGTGTCTGACTCACTTGCTTTGGACATGTCAACAGGGGGGATCAATCGCTAGAGGAGGACATCATGTTTGGGGAAGGCGTGGGAGAGCCTTGGTGAGACAGATTGGCACAATGCCCCCGATAAGAGGCTCAAATATGCTGACGATTGCTAAGGATGATGCAGCACCAGGCAATATTTCATTCTGTTGTACACAGAGTCGCCATGAGTCAAAGTTGACTTGAAGGCAGCTAATCACATCAACATTTGGCATAAAGCTGGGTTCAAGGTACGCCGTTATCACTGACTGACTACTGATGAGCAGGTAGTAAGCAGTAAAAACCAGGCAAGAAAATGGTCTGTACTAAAGAAAAGATGGTAGAAATCATGAACACCTGTGGTGGTTAAGTTTGTGTGTCAGCGTGGCTGGACCTGGTTGAGTGGCTGGGCAGCTGGATGTAGTATTCCCCATGATGAGACTGGCAATCAACTCCATGGTGGGATCTAGTGAGCAGCTGAGTAGCTGCCTTTGGATATGTGGTCTGCTTCTTGTGTATAAGAAAGAGCTTTAGGAATGGTCTCTAGCTTATGGCACGCTTAAACCCTGCGTGTAGCTGAGTCGCTGTTCAGCAGCCTGCCACGCTCTGCCGATCCTGGGACTTTCAATGGACTTGAATTAATAGCCTGATATGTGGTTTGGTAACATCAGGATTGTGCCATTTTATTTGCCAAACTTGGACTTGTTAGCCTCAGCAGCCAGCAGCTGCCTGAGTGAAGAGACGTCTCTAGCTTCAGTGGGCCAGGAGCAAGAGGCAGAGCTGAAGCCTAAGGTTGAGGGGCTTTCACACAGTCACTAGAGCCCAGCACTTTGAACTCGGACTTAAAGCCTCCAAACTGAAAGAGAAAAAACTCCTGTTTGTTCAAGCCATCCCATTTGTGGTATATATTCTTGTCAGAGCAGAACTAGGTAACCAAAACAATGCCCAGCCCCTCTGAAAATCACACCTTAATATACTCATGTCAGGTATTTGACACAAGAAAACTGGAGAGGTGGCATTGCCCGGAGTGCGCTGAACAGATGAGTAAACAGAGGCTGTGCAGCCCTGTCAACTCCTCCAGCATCTCTGATTCTCTTTCGCCATTATCTATAATTAACTTGGGGAGCTCTGGTAGCATAGTGCCTAAGGCACTTGACTGCTAACCAGAAGGCTGGGGGTTCAAACCCACCAGCCACTCCTTGGAAGGAAGGTTGGGCAATCTACTTCCGTAGTGATACTGCCTCGGAAACCCAAGGAGGGGTCGCTATGAGTCAGGGCCGACTCGATGGCATATAACAACAACAACATAATTTGCAGTAAAGTTGTTTTGAATATTGCCTTATCTATCTCCACTGTCTATCAGACTCTGACCATTTAAATAAAAAAAAAATCTGTCTCAATTGATTACCAGTGGATTCTGGGGTGATCCTACTGGCACATGAAGCACATAAGAACACAAGAACGTCACCTACAGCCAGAGTCTTACCAGAGTTGGACTAGTCCAACCAGCCCCCAGGATTCTGCCTCAAGCAGTGGTACCAAGGGAAGAACACTCAGAAGATGCTACTCTTGTTCTAGGCATTAACTATAAAAGATCTGGCTGCTAAAGTGATGCTGACCAGGAGAATAGGTTTCGATTAGATTGAGCTACATAAAACGACTGCTTTAAAGGTCAGAAACAGCTGAATATTATGATTTCAAATGGTTCAAATGAATAGCTGCAGCTCTGTCATGAACTTGCTGTTAAACCCCAAGACAAGCCTCTTAACCTCACTGGAGCGCAGTTTCTTCACGTGTGTATGTGCATGGTCTGTATTATCTCTGAGATAGATGGTAGCTATATCCTGTGTTATCTCACAAATCCTAGTTTTATAACTCTTATGTATCTGATACTAATTTACTTTTTGAGTCAATTTTCATTATTAGCCGGTAACACTTTGGGGCACTAAGTTCTCACTGAAGACCATCTGATTATGCTTACTGGCCTTACTCTAATGGGGCACCTGGCACTTCAAAAGAGGGTCTGCTAACAGGATGAAAACAACGGCCACTGTGATGAGCTGCTAATCTCAGACCATGTGCCTTCTTGTCCCCATCCCCGAGTGGCTCAGGCAAACAAGGTATACAGTGAAATTGAAAACAGGCTTCAGGCCCACCTAGCCTTCAGATTCTGAAGCTGTTCTTGTGGACACCCATACTCTATCTTTTTTTTGTTGTGGTAAATACATATGTAAGAAGCTCTGGTGGTAGAGTGGTTTAGGCGTTTGGCGACTAACCATAAGGTTGACGGTTTGAACCCACCAGCCACTCAGCAGAAGAAAGACGAAGCAGTCTGCCCCCATAAAGATCTACAGCCTTGGAAACCCAATGGGGGCCACTATGAGTTGGAATCAACTCAACGGCAGTGAGTTTGGTTTTGGTGAAATACGTATCTATAACAAAACATTTGACATTTTAACAATCTTCACATCACCATCGTAACTAGCATCAAACTGTCAATTCAGGATGAAAAACTAAGTGAGAAATCAGGAAACTTTCACATAAAATTTGAGGAAGTGTCAATTCACGTACAATTTCACACATGCTATAAATACTTGCTACTTTAATTACTTCTGAAACTAAACTTAAAACCATAAAACACAGGGTGTAATGAAAGAGAAGCTTTTCTGTATTGGCATTGGGATATGAATGTCTATTAAAAGACTACAAACGGATCCAAAAATAGAAAGCTGACACCAAAAAAGATATACTGATCTATGAAATAAGTAAAAAAAGAAAAAGCTCAAAAGCTCCTATTTTACCTGAACCAAGTTTTTAAAGTAACAGTAACAATAAATACAAGAGGAGGAAGATTAAGAAGCCATGTTATCATAAAGCAGTCAAATTTTTTTTCAATGACTTTTTCAAGCAATGCAATGACGACATGAAAGAGTGAACACCATACACACACATGTAAAGGAGGAACAAGGGTCACAGAGGGTATCTCACGAAGCATCCTGAGCAGGGAGGGGCACATTCAGAGCAAGACAATGACAATGACACTCTTACTGACCAGGCCAAAAAACATTCCTTGCACATGGAACTGATTCTTCACCTACCAATCAGTATAGGTGACCAGTAACAACTACCATACAGATGGCAATATGGCACATTAAAAAAGACAACTATGATGCAAGGCTGAAATCAACATTGCTGATGAGGCTTCAAGCTGGTCTCCAGCAAAGACTTGAAACTAAAGGCTCTACTGTGCTTGACACCTGAGCCAAACAGTGCTCTGCCCATCACAAGTCCTAACCTATGAGGGGCAAGGCAGTGAAGGTAGAATGCTATAAAAAGCTCTAAAGGGAAGATTTCACAGAGAAGAACTTACAGAGGAGAGACATCTGAGCTGGGTCTTAGAGGACAAATAGGCTTTTAGAAGAAAAAGAACAGGTGGAGAGGCTCTCCAGGCAGAGAGACCCAGAAGTGACGTGGGTGTCCACAATGCAGAATGAAAAAGGGCAAGCAGTAGGAGAGGAGGCCTTGGATACGAAGCCAGCATGAAGACTCAGATGGAAAGAGCAGTAGGATTTGGTTCACACAAAAATGACAATTTGTCAGACGCTGGCTCCATGGCCCTCTGAGTTCCTTGGTGACCCACCCCATGTGAGGGTGGAAAGGAACATTGATATTCTTGTCATTTTTATATGTTGGGTTTCCAAGAAAGAAAGGAAGGAAAGGAAAGAATAAAAAATCATTCGTCCAAAGCAGTAGTTCTCAGTGGGGACAACTGTGCTCCCCAAGGGATATGTGGCAATGTCTAGAGCCATTTTCAATTATCACAACTGGGGAGGGAGGAGTATACCAGCATCTCATAGACAGAGGCCAGGTACGCTGCAAAACATCCCACCAGGCATAGGACAGAATCCCACAACAACGAATATTCTGGCCCAAAACGTCAGAGTGTCAACGCTGAGAAACCTGGATCCAAAGGATGGATTGAAGGTGAGACTAAAAACAGGCAAACCAGTATGATTACTGTAATAATTCAAAAAAGATGGGGACCTGCATAAGGCAATGGCACCTGCAGAGGGACAAGAGAAGTCATCCTCGAGCTCAAGTTCACAGGAAAACTGAGGCCTCGTCCTATCTGAAGATAGGCACGGGGATTCTTACAAATGGAGGCAGCCATCACTTTGCCTCAAGACTGGGTACAATGTTGGTCTGCTCTGATCCATGGCTCCCCACTGTCCCCCTTCCCCACAAGACATGCTAAGGACACTGAAGCCAACAGAATTAAGCACTCAAGAGGGAAGAGTTGAGAATTATAGTAGAAATAAGTCCTTCAGAATTTGGGTTTTGTTTTTATTTTAACTATCACAGACTATTCTTAAATTCCTGCTTCTGCCTTACATGTAGAAAATCTTTAAGCAAATGGTAACACTGGTTTCTGCATTTTTTTTTAACTCAAGATTTAGTGACATAATAAGAACTTAACAGATTTGAAGAAAACTCACTGCCTTCAAGTTGATCTGACCCATAGAGACCATTCCTTGGGTTTCTGAGGTGGTATCTCTATGGAAGTAGATTGCCTGATCTTCCTTCCAAGGAGTGGCTGGTGGGTTTGAACTGCTAGCCTTCTGGTTAGCAGTCAATTGCCTCACGCATTATGCCACCAGAGCTCCCAACAGATTTGAAGAGAACATGGAAAAGAAATTATTTCAAATTCTTATCACTAGTATTAATGAAGATTGTACCCACCTGTGGTTTATCCAGTGAGGAATATTATAGTCATCACCCAGACAAGAATCCCTAGGCGCACTGCGATTATGCAGCTGAAAGGAAAAAGCCAATGCATGGATCAGCTCAGGGGCAGATTACCCAGTAATCCTTACTTGTGCTTCCTTGCTCATCCACAGTAAACAGTTACACATGTTTCACATGGGTTTCATCAAGATGTGGTAGAAAACATTTGAAACTGCTCTCTATAGACTGGTAAAAAGCAAAGTAAGCCTGTGCTTATCTTGCTTACTGGGTACTCTGTCTATACCAAGGACTGTAAATTTGAAAAGAGGCTTTGATTCTGCAGGAAGGTACTGTAGGGTTGGCAGAGAGACAGATGCCAGCAATACCTAGATGCAGAATTTTGATGATATGGTGAAAAAATGTGAAACCGTTCATGACCGATCAGTAAGTAACCACAAGTAAGCCCATGTTTACCTGGCCTATTGAGTAATCCGACACTGGGTCAGGTGGGAAGCAATCAACAGGCAGAGGTGAAACCACTCCAACTTTTCTAACTACTCTCAAGATCACCCTGAGGCCCTGGTCATCCAGTGGGAGAACTCTCACCTCTCAAGCAGGAGACCCAGGTGTGATTTCCACTACCCACCCATCACTGAAAGCTCGAGTGCTGCTGTAATACTGAACAGGCTTCAGCAGAGCTTCCAGACTAAGCCCAGGAGGAAAGCACTGCCCATCTATTTTGGCAAGTCAGTCAATGGGACATAACTGTCTGAGCCACAGCTGGTCATGGGGAAGGTGCAGGGCCGGGCAGGGTCTGTTCACGGGGCCGCCACGAGTCGGCCCAACTTGACGGCAGCTAACGATAACAGGACCAGGCGCTGGAAACTGGCCTTCTGAAGCAAATCAAACCCGAATTACCTTAAACAGTGGGACAGCATGTAACGGCTGCTCCCCCATGCACACCAAGTCCACACCAATCCCTAAAAAAAGAGGAGACAAAGAGTTGGGGGAGAGGAGTAGGAAAAGGTAAGGGCTTTGATCTATATTAACTATGTCATTACCCTACTTACCATCCTACAACTAATAACCCAGCAGTGTTACCTACCCAGCAAAGAAGTAAACAGAGGCATTTTTTCTGTTTCCCCTTTACCAAGGAGTCCTGTCACACCTGCCACTGTTCAGTGTCTGACAATTAGCCTTTGACTGTCTCACAGGTGGTAACTTGTATGAAGAAGATAACCAAGTACCCATTACTGATGTGTGATAGTCAGAAAGGAAAAGGCAACTTAAGCTCACAGAAAAAGCAAAACCACCCACATTACTTTATTGGTAATTAGGGCTTACTTTCCAAAATCCATCTTCCTAGTGAAACACAAGTCACTAAGTTGTATGTGTGAGTGTGTGTGTGTGTGTGTGTAGTGCATGGTACATCATGAAGGACTAGGTGATCCAGATTGTGCTGCCCAAGACGGGTTGAATGCACACTGGGCCCTTGAGACAATCCCCCCAAAATGGGTTGTCCACTGTCAAATATGTCTGTGAAACCCAAGAGTATCAGATACCTACTTTAGAGATAATCAACATACATCAATACATAGACAGCTCTGATTAAGACTTGAAATTAGGGAATTGTTTAACTCTGTATGACCCTGTATTTTCCAATCCAATCTGGCCATGGAACTCTTCCTGTCACCCAACACCTACTTATGCCCTCAGAACTCATCACGCACAGAGCACTAGGTGGTTCTCCTCATGCTCGGAGAGTCGGTGAAAGCTCAGAGATTGCAGTCAGGCAAGGAACGCATGGAGACAGAGCACAAGGCAGGGCACGTTACCGTTATCGATCATCCGCTGCTTGGTCAAGATCATAAGTAAGCGGTCCACTTCAAACACACCCACCCCAGGGGTGATCACCACTGACATCTGCCCTGTCCGGTCAAAGTTGCGGTTGATGTAATGCTTGTCAAACACTTGAAAAGAAACAAAAATTCGCCAATGAAGATGCTACAGGTTTTCAGAAACCAATCTCTGGTAGGCACCTCTGTGCTCTTGGAGAAGTTTCTATTTTTTTCATAGCAACTGCTACATTCTGACCTGAATTCTAGTAAGTTGTGTGCACGTCAGTCTTTTCCCGGCTACATTAAGAATTACTTGAACACAGGACTATGTCTCTGTCACCTTTGTTAATGCCCCTCACTGATGCCTAATACCTGCCTTGTGCTGCCTTGAATGCTGAAATTTTATGGCGTTAATTTAAACTAGCTATTAATAAACTTGTATTGAAACTTAAAGGAATCAAATATTAATTTAAGATAGTATTCAAGAGAGTGGGCCAAACTTTTGAAATGACTTGGTAAATCTGGTAAATTAATTTTTATTTCTTGGCCTTGCAACTACTCCATTCTGGATAGACAATGATATTCAAATATGACCAAAGATTTACTAATAAAAGATGGCATCAAGCTCTAGAATCCCAGGACCTGGGCACAGATACATGGGAGGTTGACACACGCTGTAAAGTGACCACACATCATCACTGCCATCACTGGCCAGGGCTGCCCAGGCACCCAACCTGAGCTGAGCCAACCAGACTCTACAGGAATATGGAATTCTGAACAGAGCAGAGGCAGGGCAGCTGGGAGCTGACCACTGGTCTGGGAATTGCTGCTGGTGTGCTTCCAAAGCCATCTGTCCCCATCCTTCTTCCACACAGCACTCACGTCTTTCTGGCTGCCTCACCAAATACCGCTATCCTTAAATTTCCCTTTTTATACCAACTCAGCAGGTTCCTGTTATTTGCAAACAAAAGTATCATCCATGGAAAGACAGAAACAAATTCAGAAATCACACAACAAAGCTCTCTCCAGAAAAGGGATCGACAGTTGGGGCGAGGGACAAAGTTTCATCTTTTACTTGATGCATTCTCCATTATCAGAACTTTAGAATACGAATTACTTTTTTCACTTAAAAAAGTAGAACAGAAATTTTTTGTTTTCAATTACCCAGAAGCATTTGGGGCATGTGGTGGTTATATTTGTGTGTCAACTTGGCTGGGCCTGGTTGAATGGCTGGGCAGCTGGTGGTAGTTATTCCCCATGATGAGACTAGTCATCAATTCCATGGTGGGATCTACCATAAGCAGCTGAGTAGCTGCCTTTGGGATGTGGTCTGCTTCCTGTATATATGGAGAAGCCTTGGGAATGGTCTCTAGCTTACAGCACACTTGGACCCTGTACGTGGCTGTGTTATTGTTCACCAACCTGCCATGCTCTGCTGACCTTGGGGCTTACACTTGACTTGAATTAATGGCCTGCCATGTGGTTTCGTAACATCGAGACTGTGCCTTTTTACTTGGCAGCCTCAGCAGCCAGCAACTATCTGAGTGAAGAAAAGCCTCTAGCTTCAGTGGGCCGGGAGCTGGAGACAGAGCTGAAGCCCAAGGCTGAGGGGCTTTCGCCCAGCCCCTAGAGCCTGGCACTTTGAACTTGGACTTAAAGTCTCCAAACTGTAAGAGAATAAACTCCTGTTTGATAAGGCCATCCCATTTGTGGTATATTCTTGTCAGCAGCACTAGGTAAACACAACAGGGTGTGAGGGATGAAAAAAAAAGAAGACCGCTGTTCTTAGTATAACAAAGAGCATAGTGCCTAAGGCACCTGACTGCTAACCAGAAGGCTGGCTGCTAACCACCAGCCATTCCTCGGAAGGAAGATGGGGCAATCTACTTCCCTAATGATAATGCCTCGGAAACCCAAGGAGGGGTCACTATGATTCAGTCCCACTCAATGGTACATAACAACAACAACAACAACAACAACTGGCTCTTTACTTAGGAGACCAAGAGAAGCCGAATACAAGGTAATCTCCCCACACAGGCCAAAGACCTAAATGGTGGTCATGAGAACTATCTAATCAGAAAGAATTGTTTTCAATTAACTTCAGGGGTGGAGGAGTAGCAAGTAGATCTGGGTCTTTGGGCTTTAGTGAAAAGCAGTTGACAGTCACGTGGTAAGCCAACTAGCTGTGGCTGGTGCTGGGACTCACCGTTGAATGACAGATTGATGGCTTCTAGGTAGTTTCCTTGTGCTGAGGTAGAATTGTCTCCTTGAGGAAAGCCCTCTGAAGCAAAAGATACAGAGAAGGAAAAATATCTCATGAAGAAATAAGCAAGAGGCATCCAGAGGCCCCTCGTCCTCTATTGGGCACACTACTGACCTTACAACATGTAATGAAGAAATGAACCCATCTGTACTTGAACCCTGACCAGAAGCAGAAATTACACAGAGCAATGGAAAGGGCAACAAGCATGAACTTCTTGTCTCTGAGCCTCCATCCTACACTTCCTTTCCCACCACAACTTCTATTCCAAAGATGTAGTACCTGCCTGTTCCAGTCGCACCAACACTGGATACTGGATGAAGAGTTTTTTAATGGTCACAAGAAGTGAAGTCCATTCTTCCCTTCTCTCATTCTGCACCACCACTCTAAAATGAGTATTGTCAGAAAACATTCATCAAGCAGCTACTACCCATAGGACATCAGGTCCCTTACAAGATTCCAAGAAGAGGAGAAGATGGGACTCCCAGGGTTCAGAGAATATACCATCTAAACAGTAAGTGTTGCGTAATAATAAGCATCACGTTAATAGTATATGTTGTTGTTGTTATGTGCCATCGAGTTGGACCCGACTCATAGTGACCCCTCCTTGGTTTTCCGAGGCAGTATCACTACGGAAGTAGATTGCCCCATCTTCCTTCCAAGGAGTGGCTGGTGGGTTTGAACCGCCAGCCTTCTGGTTAGCAGTCAAGTGCCTTAGCCACTATGCTACCAGAGCTCCCTTAGTAGTATATAGTAATAAGTAATTGAACCGAAGTGGTAAGTTACAAGCACTAACCAAGAAATGATACCACATTAAGATTAACATAAATTAAAAGTAAAAAATTAGAGAAAAAAAATTGCCTTGAGACTGTTGGGCAGGGACAGAATCATTTACACAGGCTGTTCAATGCATGGAAATTTACTTTTGTGAATTACAATAACGCAATATGTACTAGAAGCCTTCAAAGACAGCATCCCACATATATCCAAAGGAAAAAACCGTAACATATAAATGCAGTATGCATGTCTAGGTTGGGGAGCTAACCAGAGTAGGTGAAATGGATGGGTGGGAATTTATCATATACTCTTCTGTGCCTTTAAAAATCTGAACCCTTTGAATGTATTCAAAAATAATTTTACAATTAAAAAGAAAATTATGCATTTCCTCTAATATAGTCATTCCAATGTTAGAAGTCTTTTTTTTTTTTTTTTTTTTTAATTGTGCTTTGGGTGAAAGTTTACAGAGCAAATTCACTTTCCATACAGCATGTCACATACACTTTGTCTCATGACATTGACTGCAATTTCCTACAATGCAACAGCCCTTCCCACTTCCTCCCCATAGTTACCTCTTCCCTGTGTTCTTCCCTCCCATAAGCACTCCTGGCCCCTGAGCCGTCTCCCTGTGCAGAGATAGCCCTTCTGTGCTCCCGTGAGTAATTTCTCCAGGGAATGTACCTACCTAGTGTAAATGTTCAGCTCATATGCCTGTCTTTTGTTTGGCTAGAAGCCACAGGAGTGGGTTCAATTCCAGACCTGAAGGGTTGCTAGAGGCCAGTCTCAGGCGTTCCACCAGGCTCTGTGAGACCAGCAAACCTGGTACTTTCTTTTTTTTTTTTTTTTTTTAATGATTTTGAGTTCTGTTCCACACTGTTCTTCCACTCTACCCAGGATCTGCTAGGAGCCTTTTTAAAGAAACACTCAAGGATACCTGACTACCTATTATCTATTTATCTACCTACCTGTATTTATCACAGTGGTATAGATAATTTTAAAGACTAGAAAAAATTAAACATCTAACAATAAAGAATTGGTTAAATTATAATATTTGAAGGAATCTGACAGAATACAGCCAGCAAAAATGACATGATTATTTTTGATAATTGTTGAAAAATAGCACAAGGTACTTGGAGGTTCACTATCTTGTTCTCTTTGCCTAAGTATGATTGATTTTATCAAAAGCAAAAACAAACCAAAAAGGTGATACCAATTTTAAAACAGATTAAACAGAAAAAGGTCTGGAGAAACATATACCACAGTGTGAAAAATGTTTCTCTCTGGATAGACTACTAAGTCAGACTAGGAATAATGAGACTAGGGCAAAAATGATACAAAGATGAGCTAAGAACATGAGTGGACAAATCACAAAGGAAAAATCCAAATGCCAACAAACCTGAGGAAACATTTACTTTCACTGACAAATGAGTAACACTCACCGAGATAATCTTCCCTCCACCCAACAGGCAAAGAATCAACAAAACGGAATTCAGTGTCAATGAGAATGGAGAGAAATTGGTATTTCCATGCACCACTGCCAGGAACACAATGTTTGACTTCATTGTTTTTGGAGGGCAATTTGGTTTCACAACTAAAGAGGCTTAACAAAAACAGAATACCCTATGACCCAATAACTCTATTTCTGGGAATTTATACTAAGAAATAAGTAAGGCTATACTTAAAAATTTAGGCGTAAGAACATTCACTAGCAGTGCTATTGACAGGAGTGAAAAGATGAAATAACCTCAGTGTTTAATAATAGCTGACAATCCAACAGAATTTTTATACAGCAATAAAAAATGGTATTGCAGAAGTATTTGACATGAAATGGCATTTGTGACATAGTAAGTGGAAATGTCAAAAACAACATGTAAAGTGTGTGATCACATCTCTCTGAAAATTAATTTTTGTCTCTATATATGGAGGCGTGGGAAGCTCTGGTGGCAGAGTGCCTAAGGCATTTGACTGCTAACCAGAACGCTGGAGATTCAAACCCACCAGCCACTCCTTGGAAGGAAGACTGGGCAATCTACTTCCGTAGAGATACCGTCTCGGAAACCCAAGGAGGGGTCGCTATGAGTTGGGTCCGACTCGACGGCAGTGAATTGTGGAGAAGTGAGTTTGATTTACACAGGTGATGGCGCCTGACCTGGAAGGTGGAACTGAGGGTGTTCTGACTTGCTGCTTAAGTGTGCTTTGTGCTTTTCCTAAAATGAACCTGTATTATTTTTATAATAAGAAAACTAAAGCTCCTGTTAATATCAGGGATAATTTTTCAGTAACACGGAGAAATTTACTTATAAATCTCTGATTTATAGTTACAAATATATAGGAGCCCCGGTGGCATAGTGGTTAAGCACGCAGTTGCAAAACCGAAAGCTCTGTGGTTCGACCCCACTAGACAGTCCACAGCAGAAAGACGTGGCAGTCCACTTACGTCAAGATCACAGCCGTGGACACCCGCCAGGGCGCCAGTTCTGCTTGTCCTACAGGGTTACTTCATGTTAGCACAAACTCAGTGGCAATGGATTTATGGGATACGGTAAGCAAGACCTGTCAAAGCTAGAACCTATGTAAGGCAGAAATCTGTCAGAGAAAGAAAATTCAAATATTTTCCTCTAAAACAAGTGATAGAAAAGTGGTTAAGACTTCACCCTGTGAAAGGCAGAAACTTGGGAAACTCAGAAAAACAAGGCAGTCGAGTGCCAGCTCTCACAGGTTTCTCTGCGTGTACATGTGTGTCTATTTCATTTCACCTGGATCTCCAATCAACGCCTACAGAAGCAGCAAGCGAGAAACAGGATGACGTACTGCACTGGGCAAATGTGCTGCAAAAGATCTTTTTTAAGTGTTTTTTTTAAAAAATATGTCACTTTGAAGAGTAAGGTACCCCGACCCAAGGCACAGTATTTTTAAAAGTCCCACATGCATGTGAAAACTGGACAACAAATAAGGAAGACAGAAGAATCACTGAAGCATTTGAACTGTGGTGTTGGCCAAGAATACTGAAAATACAGCGGACTGACTGCCAGAAGAACAAACAAACCTGTCTCAGAAGAGAAATAAGCAGGAATGTTCCTTAGAAGCACAAATGGCCAGACTTTGTCTCATGTACTTTGGACCTATTATCAGGAAGAAACAGTTTCCGGAGAAGGATATCACGCTTGGTAAAGCAGTGGGTCAGAGAAAAAGGAAGACCCTCAATGAGATAGACTGAAAAAGTGGCTGCGACGAAGGGCTCACGCCCAGCAAGGACTGTGAGGACGGCGCAGAACTGGGCAGTATTTCATCTGTGGTGCACGGTGTTGCTGTGAGTCAGAACTGACTCAGCGGGACTTAAACCACCACACACACACACACACACACACACACACAGACACACACTCTTAAATACATAACTCTTCATTCATACTTCACAGTCATGTTTTATATAAATCTGAATATATCCATAATTACACTCAAATGAATTCACACTCATTATGTAGATGTAATTGCACACATTTTTCTACTAAAACAGGCTCCAATGGTTTCAGGAGACCACATAACAACAACAACAACAAGAAGTGAGCTGGTATGCCAACTATATCTGCCTCAGGGGATCAGCAGAGAAGATGGCCAATCACTTCATGAGGTTCCCAAAGGGACACAGGACCCAAAAGAAGATCAACAAATAATTTAAGACATGATCAGTATGAGGCCAATGAAGACAGTGGTCAAAAGAACAGACTCTGAACTCAATGGCCAGAGTTCAAGTCCATAATCTACCATTACTACTCTGTACACTTTGGGTAAGTTACTCTGTGTTAAAATTTCTGTTAAACTCTGTGTCCAAGTTTCCACACCTGAAAAAAGGGATAACAGTAAATATCTTAGGGGATGTTGTGATATTTAAATAAATGAATACATATGAAGTACTTAGTAAGTCCTGAATAAACAGTACTCAGGGTCTCAGTAGCACAGTTTGTGTTCAACTAATCTAAAGGTTAGTGGTTCAAATCCACCCAGTGGCACCATGGAAGAAAGGCCTGGCAATCTGCTTCCATAAAGATTGCTGCCAAGAAAACCCTATGGAGCCATTCCACTCTGCAACAAATGGTGCAGTGCAATGAATTTCTCTTATGATATGACCTTTCTGGCTCTAGGTTCACAGTTCTACCAAAAAACGATTGCTGGGACATAGTCTGCCCCGTGATTGGTCTATTTTACTTAACTTGCCAGGACTGGTCAGGCAGTTGTTGTTAGGCGACATCAAGTCGGTTCCAACTCACAGGGACACTATACACTAATAGAAAGAAACACTGCGTGGTCCTGCACCATCCTCACAATCGTTGCTGTGTTTGAGCCCACTGTTGCAGCCACTGTGTCAATCCATCTTGTTGAGGGTCTTCCTCATTACTGCTGACCCTCTCTACCAAGCATGATGTCCTTCTACAGAGACTGGTCCTTTGGGATAACATGTTGAAACTACGTGAGATGAAGTGCTGCCAACCTCATTTCTAAGGAGCAGTCTGGCTGTACTTCTTCTAAGACAGATTTCTTTGTTCTTCTGGCACAGTCCATGGTATAGTCAGTATTCTGCACCAAGAACATAATTCAAATGCATCAATTC